GGGTCAAGTCGCCAAGGTCGAAGTCACCGTCAAACTTGACCTGTTGCCGCCAAAAGAGAAAGCCAAAGATCCGCCAGCCCCAAGTCGGCCAGTGCCAAGTGGTAACTATCCATGTACTTATGAAGGCTGCACTGCCATCCCTTTCCAGACACAGTATCTGCTCAACAGTCACATGAACGTCCACTCCGATACGAGAACGCACTTTTGCCCCATGGAAGGTTGTCCGCGTGGTCCAGGGGGCCAAGGGTTCAAGAGAAAGAATGAAATGATCAGGTAAGACACAATCCCAATCAGCACCCATGCATGACACATCCAAAAATGCGAAAAGGTCTGGGCTCACCAAAATAATAAAACCGGCAGGCATGGTTTGGTTCACGAATCCCCCGGTTACACCTGTCCTTTTTGTGTGGATCAGACACACAAATATCCCAGGCCGGATAACTTGCAACGGCACGTTCGAGCGCACCACACAGATCGAGACCGTGACGACCCTATATTGCGCCAGGTCCTCGGCCACCGGGAAGAGAGCGCAGGACGTGGCGGCCGAAGACGAATGCGCTCTTTCCTTGTATAGTAACTACTACCGACGAATCCAATGGTCGAGAGACGTTTTGGCGTCTTTACCCAGCCTCAACCTCGAATGGCAGCCATGGGGTCTTAGTATATCGATATCGCGGCCGAAAGCCCCAGCAAGTTTCAGACAGGTCTGATTGAGCTAGGGAAGTGGCTATTGGCCGAAATCCCATTCTTCTATTCTTGTACAGCAATCTTGGCTTGATTTGATTTTATCCCAAGGAAATCACACATGGGTCCACGACGATCCCAAGGAAACCATTTTCTTCTTCGCGACGCGTTCCGGAACGTATACGACGAGAGTGGAGGCCGTCATGGCACATTCACTCGGTGCTCTTATCTTGATGGAGAGTTCGACTATGCCGGAGTGGAGTACACAGTGTACTGGGAGGCAGACCAAAAAAGCACCGACGGCCCATTGGGAGTATTGGACAAGCAGTCAGTAAGTCAGCGGAAGGGGGATATGCTTCGACTTTTACGACGTTACGATTAATGACGCCAGACATGCCCGTTACGTTTACGTCTCGAAATCCAGATCCGAATCTTGATGGCTATCCGTCGTTTATCGAAAGGGTGGTGAAGTGGGCGCAACACGGTATGGTGTCCATATCGAAGGGCGTTTTCATTTCATTTGGGTCCGAACGCAGCAAGAGCTGGCCCAGACTGTCCTCCAGAGGAATTGTCATGGATTTTGCAATGCAGCAAGACAAGACATGGCAACAAGAGCGAGGCAAAACAACAAAAATCGACGAACCGAAAAGCCGTACTTGCTCAATAGGATCTTGCGTGTCACCCAGCCAGTCACCCAGCCTGTCACGATGCGGGCAGAAGACGAGCAGATCGGAGGGCAGAGGGCAGTATGACAGCCATTTGGCAACTGCAGAGCTGTTTGTACTGCCTAAACTCGGGACGAGACATGGCCAGAAGCTAAGCGCGATGAAATAAATGAGCAGGCCTGACAGTGCAGGTATACCACAGTAAACCCCACGGGAACCCCAGGAGAGGACCCTTCAGGACCATTCGTTAAGGCAGGGTAATGTACCTAGCTAGTTTTCTCTCTCCCAGTCTTTTCTACCTTACCTTAAAATTCATGATTACCTTTATTAACAGACATACGGAGCAATGCGTATAGTAATCGTAAAATACACTTTGATAGACAGATTTGTCAACTACCCACTACCTTAGCCCTGATTCAGGTACTCCGTCCACAGGCTCCTCCTATCCGTTATGCTATACAATATAGTCACGGCCTGGTCCACATACCGTCCCATGGCTGCTGGATTATTTCGATCCAAAATATTCAGCCCCAATGAAGAAAGACGACCGGCCTCAGTGCCGCCGATGGCCAGCAGGCCGCCGGTACGGGGAAGCGGTCAACAAGGTCCACAACGATGGAAGTCGTCTCCTCGTTGCTGGACGACAAGGCCAAGGCCAGCCAGTAACATATTGAACCTGTACTTACTCATGAAGACAAGTGTTCACTGCCGCTTGCGTGCCGATGTTACGGCCGAACCACTTCCTCCCGAGGATGACATCGAATTTGCGAACTCAGGACGTGGCCTGGTGGTCGTCGGAACGCTTCTGGCGCCGAGAAACGCTACAGAGCTTCAGGCTGGTGAGGCCATGGTCTTCCTCGAAGTAACCGCTACCTGGTTCGTACAACATTTGCTTGCGTTGTATCGAGGAGGACAGGAACCATGACGATGGTCGGGGTATACCGTTGCAGAGGCTTAATATTCCAATCGAACCTGCATTTCAACCATGGCTTGCTTGTAATGAGCACTGAATGAGAATGTGAATGTTACTAGCTGGGTGGAAAATCTTTCCCCTTGAACTCTCGCATCGACAGCCTGCGCCCGCCCGGCCACCATCACCTCCCGTCAGAACGCCTAACCTAACATGCCGACAAAGCCGCCAGTCACGGTGGATAATTGTTCTCTGAACCTGGCAGCCAGAGTATCTTGACCCTTTTGGCCCTCCATCAGCTTGTCAATCTCCTCCATCGTGTTCGGATCGACTGTTCCCCAAAACTTCCAGTCGCTTTCTTTGACATTGATCTGCAGCTTCTGGATCACCACGTATTCTGTCCTGTTAAAGATCTGGCTGTAATGCATGGAAGCAGTCTTGCACCACTGTCATGAGTTGATGCGCACCGTGCATTGTCGGAACGACGACTTCGGAAAGGGAAGAGGCGCCATTCTGTCAGTTAGGACTCTTGCGCTGGCGTTCGGGAGAAGAAGAGAGATCGGCCACCGCTGCAGACATTGTGGGTATTCAATCCCCAGATATTTCATATGTTTCCATTGTTCGATCGCCCCCATTCTCTTGTCGTCTACTACGATGGTCGTCGTACTGCTGGAGCTGTTGATGCGGCTGCAACGATCCTAGCTTCAGCGTTGCCGACCCTTAGCGCGTTCGGGTTGTACTTCATACACAGCCCATTAGCTAGGATGTTTGCCATCATGGCATGTACGATTCTCTTCTCCACTGTCCTCACCTTGATTGCGAAGCCAAAGAGAGCAGAAACCCTTGGGGCCTCCGCAGCATTTGCCGCTGTGCTGGTTGTGTTTGTTCAAAACACTACCGGAGGACCTGTGTGCCCAGGTTGAACAAGACCGTCTTGACGGAAGGCGACACTGCAGAAGCAGAATACGAGAAGGATGCGGCAGCCAACAACAATACATGGACAATGGGGGAGCGCTTTTGCCATCCAGCAACAACAATGATGTGATGATGAGACTACATGCAATGCATCTGATTTTGACTCAACACACATATCGCTCTGTCTCAGAGCGAGAGAGAGAGAGGTCTTTTGAGATGAGCGTCCATCTGGTCTTGTGGTCGGAAGTCATTTAGGATCCTTGAAGTCTACTTAAGGTTCTGTAGTGGCCGTGATGCAATTCACTTGGTTCAAGGTCTTATCGAGAGCGACTCTCCGATAACGTTAACAGATACAATATTCAAAACGGTTCGACGTCAACTCATTCGATATGATGAGATCATATAATCGATTTCACAAAAATATTGTTATGGTCGGCCTTTGGGCTATTCGCGTAGCCACTCGACGCAAGTCATCTCGTGTTTACACTTATGGGGTACGTTTTCTACGCTTACTGTCTCCGTGACTTTCACAAGGCTGAACTGCCATTTCCCAGTGGCAACGCGCTGAGACTCTTGGTGCGCTGATTAACGGAGTCTTTCTCGTCACTCTCTGCATGTCGATTTTCCTGAGGCGATACAACGATTTGCCGAACCCCAAGAAGTCTCCAGCCCGATCCTGATTCTCGTGGTCTGCTGCTGTGGGCTCTCCTCCAATCTCCTCGGCATGGCACTCTTACACGAGCATGAGAAATCCGAGCCAGAAACATGCAATATTCCGGAGGACATGTCTAACTCGGGTCGTCGAATGACATTCGAGGGAACAAACATTCGGTCCGTACAACGCAAGGCACGTAGCTCGAGACGAGCTGCGAGCTTGTCCCAGATTTCGATACACTCCACGGCCTTCCGTGCCGATGTCATCGCGGCTGCCCAGTCACACGCAGTAGATAATACTGGCGAGCAAGAGACCGAGAACACGTCCCCTCTCGCGAGTCAATCGGGAAACAGCGCTAAGCCAACAGATTTACACGGTGACTATATTCATGCGCGAAATGATGAAGGCAAAGGGAAGGGCAAAGGTCACGACCTGAACATGGCGGGCGTCTTCTTGCACGTTCTTGGGGACGCTGTGGGCAATATAGGTGTCATCGCTTCTGCGCGCTTCATCCGGTTGACACAATTCAGCTGGCGGTTCTATACCGACCCCCTTGTCTCCATCATCATTACGGCCATCATCCTACATTCAGCTATCCCACTGTGCACGGCGGCGTCTCGAATCCTCTTGCAAGCCGTCCCCGAAGGGATCAACGTTAACGAGATCAAACAGGACATCACCACGCTGCCTGGCGTTGCGGACTACCATGCCTTGCACGTGTGGCAACTCAGCGACACGGATGTGATCGCTACAGTCCATATCGAAGTCGATCACAAGGTCGTCAAGGATAGCCATGAGCAATACATAGAGTTAGCTTCGGTCATTCGAGATTGTCTCGCTGCGTATGGTATACATAGTGCAACCATTCAGCCAGAATTCTTTGCGTCGATAGGTGAAGGGACGTCTACGGGAAGAGTCGCAATCTACGAAAGCACACCGTGAATCTCAAGTTCGAGTCAGGTGCCCACGTCTTTGGCAGAAGATAACCAACGATCTTGCTGCGAAAGAGGGAGATGTACTAGACATATTTTAGGGGTTTCTCTTTTGGGGATCTAGGTCGCGACCGGCTAGCTAGCAGTAGGGTATACTGGTACTACATGGCTTACTGGCGATCTTAAGTAGTTGCCTCTTTTGAATGAACAATGTTTGGATGAATCTCCTGGGCATCACCTTGACTTTGCGATTTTCTATAGCTTCCGCGTCTTCATTATCCTCTGTAGCCACCATGTCCTTGTGGTCCATAACCACCATGGCCTTCTTGTCCTCTGTAACCACCGTGGCCTTCTTGTCCTCTATAACCACCATGGC